GCTGCGCAGGGAGCGGCCGGATGGTGGCACGGGGCGGGGCTGGCGTTGAGGGGCCCGACTCATGTCACCTCTGGGTGGGCTTGGGGGCCCTGACTCAGTTCTCCTGGGCAAGGGGTGTGGGCTGAGCTTTGACGGTGCCCCCTCCCCTCGGGGCCCGTGGGGCAGTTGTGACCCTGTTTCCTTGTTGGGGAGAAGTCTCCCTCTCAGGCTTCTCGGCTGGCGCGCCTGCCTTCCTTAGTCCCTTTTGAAAGTAGAAAAGGTCCCGACACAGAGGACAGCATTCCCAGCTTGCCGGCGGGGAGCATGTGTTTCTGGCTCCCTCCCCCCCCACCCCCACCCCCAGTTTCATCATCAGCTTCAGGGAGCCACCCTGACTCAGTTTCCCTGGCAAGGCTGAGAAGTGGGCTTGTGCTGACCCTTCTCTCCCTCTCTTTGCAGACCTGTTCCCCCTCATCTTCTCCGGTAAGTGGCCTGGCCTCCCTCAGTGGCCTCCCCAGGTTGGGTGCAGGGGGCAGGCTGCTGATGGCCGACCTTGTCACCCACGCAGAGCCCACTGCAGCCACTGGCCCCTATGTCGAGATCATCGAGCAGCCCAAGCAGCGGGGCATGCGCTTTCGCTACAAGTGTGAGGGCCGCTCAGCGGGCAGTATCCCCGGCGAGAGGAGCACAGACACCACCAAGACCCACCCCACCATCAAGGTCAGCACCAGCTCCAGGGTGGCCTGCAGGGCGCAGGGCTAGCTGGCGGGGACAGTGGAGCCCGGCAGCTTGTCTCCAGGCCACGGAGCCCTGTCTGGGCGTCGGGCTTGGAATGCCTCAACCTCCACTGTGCTCTGTACTTTGGACAGATCAATGGCTACACGGGGCCAGGGACAGTTCGCATCTCTCTGGTCACCAAGGACCCCCCTCACCGGCCTCACCCCCATGAGCTGGTGGGGAAGGACTGCCGGGACGGCTTCTACGAGGCTGAGCTCTGCCCAGACCGCTGCATCCACAGGTGAGCCTCTCCCTGTGGGGGGCTGTTGCGGTGGGGTGGGGGTGAGGTGGGGAGGCCGGAGACGAGTTCTGTGGCGGTTGCAGTTACTTTCTGAACACGGGCAGAGCGGCTGCCCTCACGGTGTCCCCTCCCAGCATGCAGACTTCTTTTGACTTGAAACTACGTGCGTGTGCACTCTGGAGCAGATGTGCGCTCCCCAGGAGAGGGCTGGGTTCCCAATTCCTGTGACTGAAGGACGCATCTTGTGCAGTGAGAAGGAAAACCGTTGTAGCAACAGTCTCCCTCCACCAGTTGTTGTTAGAAACGGGCCACAAGTAAATGTATAAGTAAATTAATAAGCTGTTACTAGAGAGTAATTGTGCCAGTGATGGAAATGAAAAAGAATAGTAGCTTTAAAAGAATAACCGGGGTTATTCTTCTGGGAGGCGGGGAGCTAGTCTAATTACTTTGGATCGGAAAGGTGAGGGGAGGCAGAACTTGAATGGTGAGAAAGAAAAGAGAAGCGCAAAGAATTTTCCAAGCAGAACAAGTACCTGCAGTGGCCTGGAGCTGGAAATGAGTTTTATGTCTTTGGAGGAGGAGGACGCCCCTGTGCGAGGGCCTGGCGCGGGGCACACAGCGAGCCAGGGAAGGCGTTTCATGCACGCTGGGGAGACATTCGAGGGTTAAGCACATAGTGATGACCTGGTGAGTGGGTGAGGAGGGCCCAGGCTGTGCTGAAGACTGGGACTGATACTGGGGGGGCTCAGTTTCCAGAATCTGGGGATCCAGTGTGTGAAGAAGCGGGACCTGGAACAGGCCATCAATCAGCGCATCCAGACCAACAACAATCCCTTTCAAGGTGAGGGGCGCAGGCCTGGGCCTGCCTGGGCCTCCCCACCCTCTCACCCTCCTGAGGCCACCTGCCCCACATCTCGGCCCTACTGGCCCAGACTCACAGTGCAGGTGGACGCTTCCTGCCCATTCAGCACGCGCTGGTGTGTTACTACTGGGGAAACTGAAACCCTGACAGGGAAGGTGATACCCAGGACCGCCGGTGGCAATCGAAGCCTCCCTTCCTCCTTCTCCTCTAGAAGTCCTGTTTCACATGCCCTCCAGCAGCCTCCCAGCCCGGAGCTCCTGCTCCCCTGCTGTGGCCACTGCCCCGAGCCCTCCTGACCATCCCTTTCTCTGGCAGTTCCCATTGAAGAGCAGCGAGGGGACTATGACCTGAATGCCGTGCGGCTCTGCTTCCAGGTGACAGTGCGGGACCCCACAGGCAGGCCTCTCCGCCTGTCGCCGGTCCTCTCTCATCCCATCTTTGATAACCGTGAGTGGCTGGGTAGTTGCAGGAAGGGAAGGGGAAGGGGCCTGGGGAGGAGCGAGGGCGCTGGGGTGCTGCAGCCCCCTGGGAGAGCCCTGGCGTCAGTCATTCGCGCTGTGCCTTCCTCACCAACACTGCAGGCGAAGGAGGCTGGGCTTGCCCTCGAGGTGGAGCTTGCAGGGAGAGAGGGTAGTGTGCCGCGAGGATGTCAGCAGTGCTGGAGGGAGGTGGTAGAGAGCGGTGCTTTAGTGGCAAAGCGCCGGGGTCTCACAGGGGAAGGGGAGCCCATCCGCAGCGGCTTCAGATTAAGTAACCTCTGGCGAAGGAGCCCGGCGGCCGGGAAGCCAGGATGAGCTGGGGCCCAGGAGGCGGGGGTGCATCGCGCAGGGGTTGCTCAGCGAGGTGGAGGAAGAGGTGAGGTCGCCCCGGCGCCCGTGGGAGCCAGAAGGGCGCGCTTCGTGTCTGTCCTGCCCGCCGGGACGGCTGGGCACGCGGAGCAGGCAGAGGCAGTTCTGGCCTGCTTGGTGGGGAGCCGCTGGGGTCGCCGGCCAGCCCCAGAGACCCTGGGACTCAGGCTCCTTACGCTCACGCTTTCAGGTGCCCCCAACACTGCTGAGCTCAAGATTTGCCGAGTGAACCGAAACTCGGGGAGCTGCGCTGGGGGGGATGAGATCTTCCTGCTGTGTGACAAGGTGCAAAAAGGTACACACCGGGAAGGGGCTGGCCTCTAGGCAGGAGGCCAAGCAGAGTGGGCAGGGCCAGGAGCTGGCGTTAAGCGGCGGGGCGGTGTGTTGCAGGAGAAAGCGTCACTTGGGGATGTGGGCTATGGGCGTCGCACCCCCAGACCCACACTGCCACCCCACCACTTACAGAGGACATTGAGGTGTATTTCACCGGACCAGGCTGGGAGGCCCGAGGCTTCTTTTCACAAGCTGATGTGCACCGACAAGTGGCCATTGTGTTCCGGACGCCCCCCTACATGAACCCCAGGCTGCAGGCTCCCGTGCGCGTCTCCATGCAGCTGCGGCGGCCGTCCGATCGGGAGCTCAGCGAGCCCATGGAATTCCAGTACTTGCCAGACACAGGTACCCGGCCGGGGCGGCGAGGCCGGGCCTGCAGGTGCTTCCAGAGCGAGAGTCAGGCAGGTTTCATGGGGTCAGGATCTCGTTCCCACAGGTCACAGCCACGCCCCAGGGTGCAGTGAGCCCTTCCTGCGCGCTTGGCCCTATCCCAAGCTAGTGTGAGTTGCCTGACGCTGCTCTTGAGGGTGTTGGGGTTGGAGGCAGCCTCGACTTGCCCGAGGTCACGCAGCTAGCGAGTGGCAGAGCTGGCCCCAGCCTCTGGCTCCAGGGCCTGTCACCCCAGCGCCTCCGTCCCCGCCATACAACCTTGGTTTGGTCAAGGCGTCCGCAAAGCTGCCCACGCTCCAGCCTGTGTGTGCTCCTAGGGGCAGGCTGAGCCTGGAGAGCCCAGGGCGGCCGTCAGGTCATTCCACATGCAGTTAGAGTGCCACCTGGTGCCACTTTGTGTCAGCAACACAAAGGTGACGGTTAGGATGTGTCCCCTGCCCCTGGGGAGCTCCGTGGCAGGCACAGCAGGCCCCATGTCACGGCGTGCTGGGGGCGGGGGAGGCGCGGAGCACAGCGGCTGCGTGGAGGAGGGCGCGAGGGCCGTTTAGGCTGGAGACAGACCGCACCTTCTCCAGGCGGGAACCAGCTCTCGGAAGGAAGGGCAGGGTGCGAGAGAGCGCCACCAGCTGGGAGCGGACCAGACTGGAGCTTCAGGGGTCTCATCCTGAAGGAGCGGGGAGCCCCCAATGGTGTAGGCCAGGAAGCTCCATGAACAGATCTGACAGCAGCACGCTGGGGCTGGAGAGGGCGCTGGAGAGGGAGCGGGCCGCCGGCGGCCCCGCCCTTGGCTCCAGCCCCATGGGCCTTTAGATCTGACCTGCACCAAGCTCAGTCTCGCCTCAGGCCCTCGGTTCTGGCCGTGGTTGTCTTCAGCAGCAGGCTCACAGCAGTGCGTCGCGGCCGCCACTGGCCTTGGCTCTGACTGCCCACGTCACTCGTGTCTCTGCCTCAGCTGTCCCCTCACTGTATGTGCCCACGGGTCACTAGGATGCCGCTTGAGGAGCAGAAACCTTGTCTGCGTACTCATGGCCACGTTCCCAGTGGCTGGAATGGCGGGTGGCGCCCAGTGGGTGCTTGGTAAATAAGGGTCCGTGAGGAAAGGGTGGTGAGCGAGAGAGAATGCTGCTGAGGATTCCAAGTCGTTAACTTCAGTGACAGGGTAGGTGGGTGCGAGGGATTTGGGGAGAAAGCCGGCCTTTTGAAGGTTGGCTTTGCACGGGTGGTGTGGAGTACTTTGGGGTCATCCAGGTGCTGAGGTAGACAGAACATTCTGGAAGCTCCAGGCTCATGCATCCAAAATAAGGGTCTCTGACCCTTAAGCCTGCTGTGCCTCCCCTTCCCGGGGCACAGAGGCCACTGCCAGGCCTGGGCTGATGCCAAAGACCAGCCGAGGCAGTGCCCGTGAGAGAAGACCTGGAGCCTGGCCCCGGCCCACACTGAGGCCGTCCTCGCACCTCGGAGGCCAGATCAGTGGCAGCTGCCTGCTCGGGGAACTCTGCAGACTAGTTGAGCGTCACCCCCTTCCCTTTGCTGGGAAGGCACAGAGAGCAGGTCTCAGAAAGACTTGGCTTGTCACCTGTCCTCTGAGCGCCCAGCTGAGAAGAGCTAGACCTGCTTCTCCCTGTTTCCCACCAGATGATCGTCACCAGATTGAGGAAAAACGCAAGAGGACATACGAGACCTTTAAGAGCATCATGAAAAAGAGTCCTTTCACGGGTGAGGGGTAGTGGGGAGACCTGGGACGAAGGCAGCAGGGAGGGGGTGGCCTGGGAGCCGAGAACTGACCCAGCCTTGCCTGCAGGACCCACGGACCCCCGGACTCCACCCCGGCGCATCGCTGTGCCTTCCCGGAGCGCACCGTCTGCCCCCAAGCCAGGTAAGGGCCTCGTGTAGCCCCACCACAGCGACGGCCGGGCTGCTGGGCGGGAGATGGCGGCAGCCTCTGCACCTGCTTCCCCGAGGCTGAGGGCACGGACACGCGCTCGGGCATCTCTCCTGCCAGAGGGAGGGCTTGCCCACTGCTCGCCAAAAGCATCCCCTTCCCTAAGTGGCAGGAAGAGCTTTGTGGCTAAAGTGGACAGGAGAGGGCCAGCACTGGGCCCCGCTGGTGGTGACGTGGAAAGGGTTGGTCCCAAACACTGTGGGCAGGACTGGGGTTCAGAGGACAGGTGGGTCTCAGGGGCTTTTCACTGACCCCTGCCTCTCTCTCTCTTCCAGCTCCCCAGCCCTATTCTTTCACGTCATCCCTCAGCACCATCAACTTTGAGGAGTTTTCCCCCATGGTCTATACGTCTGGGCCGATTGCAGGCCAGCCTTCGGCCCTGGCACCAGCCACTACCCCTGTCCTGTCCCAGGCCCCACCTCCTTCCCCAGCCATGGTGCCAGCTCTGCCCCAGGCCCCAGCCCCTGTCCCAGTCCTAGCCCCAGGCCTTCCTCAGGCTGTGGCCCCGCCTGCCCCCAAGGCCTCCCTGGCTGGGGAGGGGACGCTGACAGAGGCCCTGCTGCACCTGCAGTTTGATGGGGAGGAAGACCTGGGGTCCCTCCTCGGCAGCAGCACCGACCCAGCTGTGTACTCGGACCTGGCCTCTGTTGACAACTCTGAGTTTCAGCAGCTGCTGAACCAGGGGGTGTCTATGGCCCCCACCACAGCTGAGCCCATGCTGATGGAATACCCCGAGTCTATAACTCGCCTGGTAACAGGGTCCCAGAGGCCCCCTGATCCTGCCCCCACTGCCCTGGAGGCCTCTGGGCTCCCCAACGGGCTCCTCTCTGGGGATGAAGTTTTCTCCTCCATGACGGATGTGGACTTCTCGGCCCTTCTGAGTCAGATCAGCTCTTAAGGGGGTGACGCCTGCCGAGCACGGAGTGGTGGTTGCAGGGGATTGGTGCCCTCCCAAAGCGAGCACTTAAAGATTCTGGGGGGTATGTTCCAGCTGTCTCCAAATTCTTTGGGTGATGTCTTCTTGGGGCGGGGGGAGGGTGCATTTTACTTTCCTTGGCAGTATGTAACCTTTTGGAGGTGCTTAAGCAGAAGCATTAACTTCTCTGGCAAGGGGGGAGCTGGGGAGACTCAAACTCATTCTTCCCCTTTCCTGATCTTCAGCTCCTTTCAGTGGGAATTCTGGGGACCCCGATCCCTACCCTCCGGCTTCTACACTCTCTTAGAGAGTGGGTGGGCTGGAGCTGTGGCCTTTGAGGCCTCAAAGCCTTATTACCAAGCGTCTTCCTTGAATCATGGATTCATTTACACCTTGAGCCAAAATCGCCTCTTCCAGCTCCTCGGCACCAGTGTGGTCCGGTGCCCACACCAGCACCCGAGGGCCTGGCCTTCCTGCCTGCACAGGCCTCTGCCAGCTCTTCCCTTGTTTAGCTGTGATGGGGGAAACTGGAGGAGCAGTACCAGCCCCAGCCAGGACCCGGGGATTTTGGAGATGTCTCTGTTCCCTCTTTTCTCAAGTGCCTTAATAGTAGGGAGAGCTTTGGGGAGGGCAGGCTGGCACTCTCCAGTCAAGCGGCAGTTTTTACTGAAGAATCGAAGCATTTGGGCTCTCGCTGTTTCTACTCTGAACTAATAAATTTGTTGCCAAGCTGAGCAGATTTCTCTTCTTTCAGCAAACAGCACACTTTGCTGGTCATGTCAGGCTGGACGTTGGTGACACATGGTTGAGTGATTATAGTCTCGTCTAAGAGCTTGCAGTGTGAGGAAGAACTTGGAAACCCCTAGTTACCGGGCAGGGGATGAAAGCAGGCAACTGTCGGGCCACTGTGGGAGTGGAGCTGTCTGGACAGAGACGTCAGAGCCGTACTCCGGCCCCAGGGGGTGATGGACCTCAGAGAGGAGCCGTGGGTGTTTGTGGGTCAGTGGGGTAACATGGGAAGGTTCAGTGGGGCCAAGTTATACAACGTCCAAAACCGAGGTTTGCACTTCATCTCTCGGCGGAAGAGTGGACTGCTGTCGGGGAAGGCAAAGGTCTAACGCTGGCCCCACCTATGTACTGTGATGCCTTATTCTCCAAAGAAAAGGCAAGTCCACAGCCCCAAAGGCCTAAGCTGAGATCAAGCGTTAGTTCAGAGGGTTAGAGCTGGGCTAAGGGCTTGGTCCTGCGCACGAGCGGAAAGCTGGCTTAGCCGTAGACCCTGGCCCCCAGCAGGCCTTCACGCGCATGTGCACGCCAGCGCGCTCCGAAGGAGAGGCCAGGTGAGGCGCTTCCAGAAGCCCCTATCCGGAGGCCGAGGACGGGGCGGCCAGAGGGCCGAGGTGCAGGCTCTGACGAGAGGTGCCTGGGCCGGTAAGACGCCAGGGCGCGGCTCAGTGTTGGGGAAACGGAAAGTTCCCAGGGTAGAGCCCGCAGGGCTGCCTCTGGGGCAGGG